ATATAAGAATGGGACCATTTCGTTTCAGCGCTCGCAACGAACTGACTTTGTAGTCTTGTATTTTCACTGCTCGAGCCGTAAGAGACGGAGCCGAGCAACTACGAAGKTGAGTAGTMCCKMATGCAMATTYTTTCGGTGGTGAAAAAGTTTGTTCTACATGTCTCATCTATGTGTTCTTTGRTCAGTGGTTCAGGGTATAAAAAAAAACGGTCCCTTTCTATACATATGTACTATGAGCATTTGTATGCATGTGTGCGAAGCTCTGGCTGCCTGTAGAAATTTTAAAGCTCAGCATTTGTATTTGGTTGATCTTGTGGAGTCCTCACACTTCGAGAATCGCGTTTATAGTTAAGTAGATGATTTTATTTCAATGATCGTGGGTTTGCCTATCAGAATGTAAATGTAGTACCTGATTAATATCCGTGGGCAGATTGGAATGCGATATTCGATCCCTTGCACCTGCCAATATACAGGTGATATTAACCTTTTTAATAAGAAGCATATGTATGTACATATATACATATACTGGCCAAATGAATCCATTTTAAACGGTGCATCTGTTAAATGTCATAAAACTCATGCAATTAAAAAATACCTATAAAAGTAATGGGAAGTGTACTTGTTACTTTAGTTAGTAAAAAAAAAGAAAAAAAAAATGGGGTATAGAGGCATTTTTGTTTCACAGTCGACCATCTCGGTCGAGCGCATGAAGCGAAATGATTGTGATTTCGTATAATTGCGTAGCCCGAACCTATAAGTGAAGAGTAGAGAAAATACGAAGTTGACTGGGGTGGTAATGCTCGAAAAAAGTGTGCAAAAAGCTTTACACTACGTGTCCGGTCTATCTATCCTCTGTTTATTTATATATATAATCAATAAATAAATACTGTATATTATATAGTTATTTTATATAAGAAGTCATGAAATCACACTTAATTAAATATTCAACTTATCGCTGATACCTTGATTCGAATTGTTAAGATTCACGCATAGATTCCATGCCATAAAAAAGCATTTTTGTGCAAAACTCAATACAAAAATTTTGTAACAAATAGCATTTGAACGTGTGTGTCAGCCATATTGGCTATGAGAACTGCTGAAGGGAATTAATAAATAAAACAAACTATTTCTAGTATACTATAAACGGTGAATACCAGCTAGAATTTGTGTAATTTATAAACAAATTTTAAGATAAATAATTGCCATATAAATTGAATGAGTTATTTTTTCTCAGTGCTCCTCATTTAAAATCAATTTTCAAAAGTGTACTAGGTTTTTGCTATGCTGTGTATTTTTGGTGTGTATTAGCGATGTTACATATGAGAAAATAATAAATGTCTTCTTTGTAAGCATAAAGTGTACGAAGTGCATATATTATTATATGTATATTAACATACATATGTACAGTAGATTGATTGCTAATCTACATATACTCATACCCCTACTAACAATAATCGAGTTGTGTATCACTACTACTTTCTCTTACAAGCACATATAAAGAGATTCATTATACAAAATCTTATATATATAATATCATATATAGATTAGCAAAAGGTCTTTTGATTTATTTTGAAAGTTGAAGATAAAGATGTAATTCACTCATCATCATTTTACAGCTACATACGATCGATCATTTATAAATATTCCGTGTATTTTCTAATAAATTGAGGAACGATTATTGTGTTTCTCTCGATAATGGGGGACCGTGACATCCCAAGTGTTCCCGTCACAACATTAGCTGGTCTAACCAGCACATCTGATTGTAAGTAAATTTCGGATTAAAATGTTTTTTTTTTTCCATTTTATAATGTTTTTAAATTTATAATGTAGTGCTCAGCGAGTTGCCTGTATCCGATTGTCTACAGAGCGCTTCATCTTTTAATAAATCGCTCCTGTTCCATTCGTTAGTGGCCAACGAATCTAATAATCTCCTGTCAGTCCGTGATGAAAATCTAGTAAGACAGTTGGTAAATGCCATTGAGCAAACGAACTCGGACAATATGTAAGTATAATTAACGTTTGAAGTACATAAACTATAAATTCTATCATTTCTTTACAGAGAACTTAAGCCGCAATATGCCATACATCAACATGGTGCTAATATTAGTACATATCCTGAACTACTGCAGGGTATTTACAACTATCGCCCAACTGTATTTAACACTCCACGGCAAAACGGTAATTTAATGTCCAATGAGAACTAGTTACAAAAGCAATTAAATCTACAATTATTTTTTAGCAATAAATGATCACACGGTTGAGCAACACCTCCCGGAACACTTACAGAAAAAGCATCCAACGCATTCCAAGCAAACAGGCCTTGTTAATAATGTAAACGATATTTGTAGGGAGGCATACAATTTTAATGCTAACTATCAGCATCCTCATCTCAACGAATATGTTCATCAGTCAATCAGGTGAGAAAGAAATTCGTTTGAAATAAAAATAAAATTTATAACTATATCAAGTAAATGTAGGTAATCAAATCTCTAATCTGAATACTACAAATTAAGCTTCTAGAATCGCAATCAGTTCAATTCTTTGGTTGACACAAATAAAATAATTTATACTTTTTATGGAAATAGATGAAGATTTCGAATTAAATCGGTGTCCTTTTTTTATTTTTTATTTTCAGTACTGTAGCTAAGAGCAACTTACCTGGTCAACGTGATTCTACATCAAGTAGAAGTCAGATTGAATCCATTGAAAATATGATTGTGGGGCAAAACGCTACGCCAGAAACCATAGTTTCTAGAGAAAATATAGTAATACATGAGGAACACACATCCCGAATTCAATCATTAAATGCCAATCATCATGGAGAGCAACTCCAAGCGTACTATCATCAATACCAACATAAAAATCCCATTGGTCTACCAAAAAGCAAAACCACAAACTCATCTATCGACCATAACCAATTACATCAGAACGCATTTCAAACTCCGTCATCAACTACATCGACAATTCAAGGAAATTTTCAAAATGTATTGAACCTACAAAGACAGCAGATCGCCGATGGAGGGGTCGTCCAGCAACAATACAGCAAACCTCCTTCACCATCAAAGTCACTAATAATTGTGGCAAATAATAGTACATTTGTAAACGACTTTAACCAATGTACAAATCTTACATCAACTGCCACCTCAGCATCCACATCTTCAAGCGGCAAGTCCCAGGTTCGGGTATGTATAAATCGTCTTAACGTTGAGGATGCTCGTCTCATGCAACAGAGTATTAAAAAGTTTGTACAAAAGTCACCAGAAATGGCTAGAAGTATGGGGTTACTTCAAGAAACAACTAGCAAGCATCCTGTTAATGAATATCTGTCATTGGCTGCTAATTTCAATTCATCTGGGACATCTGGTATTCCGAAGACTGAGTCTACAGTCGCGAGTTGTGCACCATCTACTGCAGATATGTTTGCTGTTATTAAAGCTGATGAGAAACGCACTGGAACTAAAAGAAAATTGGCCATTTCCCTCGGAGATATCCCTCCAGAGCAAATATGTAAGCATACATTGAACATTATTATTTACAGTTCATAGAATTAATGACATTTTTCATTTTAATAAATTTATAGATTCGAAACCCAAGCTGCGGCGAGTTGAACGCATAATGACCCTGCCAACACCAAAAGGAATAAAAGAAGAAGTCATCCGCTCCCAGACATACCAACAGTTTATGAAAAATATGGAGCAGATTATTGAAATGCTAGATGATACGGAATCCCCTAACTTCGATACAGGTAAGAAATAATTTAACAATATAAAATAGTTCAAAGTATTTGGTCTTGGTTTTTCTTTCTCAAAATTTATAATTCGTATTTATTTACAGAAGATGTAGATGATAATATAGAGTGCATTCCGCCAAAACTTCTGAACACAATGAGTGATGATGTGGCAAAGTTAAAAGCTAAACAGGCATTGGATTCAATACCAAAAAACAAACTGACTCTTCTTATCAACTACGCCATGCGCAACGTTTACTTAGCTAGAAATTATTCTGCTGGACAGGTATGTGTTTTTATAAATATTTTAATGACCAAAATCCATAGACCTATTTATTTGTTTTGTAGGAAGACGAAGATGATATAGTTGATGACGAAGTTATAGAAAAAATATTAAACGCTATGGATGCTTGCTTACTCATATGCAATATTTATTCAACAGTGAGCGACTTAAAGTTTTTGCAAGAAGATAATATATCACACATAATTAAATTTGCTCAATTCCAACTACGTGAAACTATATTTCCCTTACACGATCCTGTCTATACTGTAAAAAGTGTTAAGAAAACTAGTCAACGCAAAAAAGCTAAATCCCATCAAAGTCACCATAGGAACTTACAACTTTTTTATTCTAAAGTTGTTGAGCTTTTAAAGGTATTCGTGACACTCTTTGACAAATGTATATTTGTTGATACTATTGTTCTGCCGTTATCAACGCTTGCAATCGAGCCATTTTTTGTAGACAACATCGAAACATTGCAGTTTGTTTGCTTGGAGCTGGTCACAACGGTAAGTGCACTTCCCTATTATTTAAAATGTATGTAACAGGCAGGAAGTATTCCTTTTCGTATTTATGAATGTTTTAACGCCATAGATTACAAATGTTATAAAAATTTAGATAGATAGTTTCATGCATTTTTTTTAATGTCCTAAACCCATTGACGGGAAATGGTTTTGTTAAATCTATATACATACACATAAGGATGCATAAAATATATATATGCACTCCTCGAAATTCAATTAAAGGCACTCAGTTTTTCTGTGTTTTATACCCTGAACCCATTTTCAATGGGAAATCAGGGTATAATGGTTTTGTTGAAATGTATGTAACACTCAGAAGGAGGCGTGGCAGACCCCACAAAGTATATATATTCTTGATCAGGGCGACGAGCTGAGTCGATTTG